AAAAAAAATAGAATAGGCTGTGTTACATAAATTTTTTAAAGTATAATTCAGTATAAGTATGTTGTCCTGTTTTAAGGCATAATAACAACAAGACTTAACATTCATAAGGCTTAATAAGAATGTTTTCTAGATTTGGTATATTTGATGAATGTTCAGTAAATTTTATTTTTAGCCGGTTTTGTGTTGACTGAGAGACTTTCTCTTGGTGTGTCAAGCAGCACATGCAGATGCATTGCCCACTCTGCAAAGTGTTTCTCTGTAGAATATGAAGCTAAGTAAATACCTTCATCTTTATGCATTCATTGGTTGATGGGCTTTTGGGGTGTTCCCAACCAAGATTTATCTATTATAAACCATAATACTATAAATATGTGTATACATACATTGCTGTTGTAGATGGTTTTAATTCATTCTGGAAGATACCAGGAAGGGGCTGAGCTGGATTAAACCAAACCTCTAGCTTTAGGACAGGGTCTATTTTCGAGAGAAGGTCTCACTATATAGTTTAGGCTAGCTAGTTTAAATATTTTGAGAAATTACTGATTTCTACATTGGCTGCAATAGATTACACTCCCACCATCAGCGGACAAGGGTTCCTTTTTGGCCCTACAACCCTGCCAGCATTTGTTACGAGTTGATTTCTTGATAATAGTTAAACATTCTAGAATGAGATATGTCTCAGCATTGTTTTAATTTGCATCTCTTGAATGACCAGTGATGTTGAACATTTTTTCCTTTCTTTGCCATGTCTCAGGTTTCAGCTGAGTATCTGTTCATTTTGGATATCCATTTTGGGATTAGGTCTTTAACTTTGTGAGATCTGATTTTTTTTTTTTAGTTCTTTATATATTCTACATATTTATTCTTCCTTTGAGGAATAGCTGGTAGAAGTGTTTCACAAACCGTGAGTAGCCTCTTCACTCTCTTGGCAGTATCTTTTAATATTCAAAAAGCGTTTTAATAGGATGAGATCAGTTGTTGAGCCTTTTGATAGTTTCTGTGTGGTTAGGGTTTTGCTCATAAAGTCTTAGCCTACAGCAGTGCCTTTGAGAGTTCTACCTATTCTATTTTCAAACTAGTGCTTCTGCTTTTTTAAAATTTTATTTATTATGTATTTGGTTGTTACAGGGTCTCACTATGCAGCTCAGACTTGTGGTGATCTTCCTACTTTCAGCCTCCCCAGCGCTGGGATTATAGGTGTGGGCCACCACACTTGGACTCTGACTGGCTCAGCCTGCCCTAGGGGCAGGGCTGATATGGTATGTGGTGCCTGGGATCAAACTGCTGTCCCTGAGCTTGCCTAAGCAGGTGCTTTAGTCCACTGAGCTATCTTGCCAGCCCTAATGCTTCTATTTTATTTATTGTGTGTGTGTGTGTGTGTGTGTGTGTGTGCGCGTGTGTGTGCGCGTGTGGCCAGCTCAGCCCACCAGGGGGCGGGGCTGGCTGGCATGTGGTGCTGGGGGATTGAACCGCGGTCCCTGTGCTTTGCTAAGCTTGTTCTAAGTAGGTGCTTTGGACCACTGAGCCATCTCACCAGCCCCAATGCTTCTATTTTAATATTAAAATCTTTGATCAGTTTCATTGCTAGATTTGTGCATAGTGAAAGATATGAATGATGGGTCTAGTTTTAATCTTCAGGAGATGGAATGCTATCTTTCTTACAGTGAATGTATTTGGCCTCTTTTTCAAAGATGAGGTAGCTGTGTGTTTGGAGTTTGTTTGGTTTTTTTTGTTTTTATTTTTTTGCAGTACCAGGGATTGAACTCAGGACCTTGTACTTGCCAGGCAAGCACCTATTCTACTGAGCTATCTCCCTGGTCCCTGGAGTTGTTTCTTCATTGTCTATTTCGTTCCATTGATCCTTGGATTTGTTTTTTGTTTGTTTTTCTCATTACTGTGCTTTTTTTTTCACAGTAACTTTATAGTATGATTTCAACTCAGGAATGCGATACCTTCTGCCTTGCCTTTGTTGCCCAGGATTGGTTTTGCCATTCTAGATCTCTTCTGGTTTCAAACGAAAGTAGGATTGTTTTCCCTAATTTTGTGAGATAGGTTATTGCTGTTTTGTTTTTTTTTAATCAATCACTTTATTAAAAATAGCAAATCTCACAAATACTCATTCAACATTTTGTTGTCACGGGCCACTGGACACACAGCTGCATGTGTGCTGATTGTCTAAGGTAATGGAAGCTGGGCTGCCACACGAAGCCTGTGCCACCTACTGAGGCACTGGGCAAGCGGGCACTCAGGGCAGACGCAGCCTACAGCGGTGAGCACTTTGAGCACAATGCATTTCAAGTATAACCCGTAAGGCAACAGAAGGAAGCGCGGGCACTTGCAAGGCGTCTGAGAGCCTTCCACAAGGCCTGGACCTGCACCGGACCTGTACCGGGGGCATGAGTGAGAGCAAGCGGACTTACTGAAAGCAGGGTGTGGAAAGGATCACTGCACTGGCATTTTAATTACTGTCAACCTGTGGTGCAAGATGGGTCTGCTACTGGATTCAGCTGGAAAAGTACAGCAAGCAGCTTGGTTGCAAACCCCAGGAAAGGAGACGGCACTGGAGCTTAGCTGGTCGATGTGTTTGGAACATCCTGTGCGTCTGCCAAGTGCAGCTTTTGTATAGAAGAGTTCAATTCTTCTAGGTCAGACAGTAGCCTGTCCAGGTTGGAGTCGCTGGCTGTTTTCCTCTTGTCCTCAGGGAGCTCCTCTAACTCCCCGTAGAGCTCCAGATTCAAGCGGGCTAACTTTTCCTGCATCCCCCGAACGTGTTCCATTTGCTCTATGGAACACTCATTTCCAAAGGCTTGAAGCTTTCCTGAGTGAAAATCATTCAAAAGACTGAGGAGCCCTCGCTCCATCTCCTGCACATCGGAGACATCAGTGAGGAAGGAGTGTTGGATCGGAGTCGCCTGAGTTGCCTTCCCTTCTCCACCCTGAGGTTTGGTTTTCTCTTTTGTCACTCTTTTTAACTTTGGTCGCTGTGAAATTGACTGTGCTGCAGGATTTGAAAACCCTGTGCTTTTACTGACTGGAATGGCGTTCTTTTTGGCATTAACAACCTGAGTAGGGTGGGCACTAAAAGACTTAGGACTCCTCCTCTTCACTTTCCGCTCCTCCATTGTCCTGAGTTCCCTGACGCGCTGAGGGCAGCCTCTTAACACCCGATGAAGAAGGAGGCCGGGATCCCGCTCTTCAACTGACGGGAAGCGATAAGCAGAGGCAGGCAGCACTGCAGCGGCCGCGAAGGCCTGCTGTTTTGATTGAGTATGCATTACATCTGTATAGCAATTTTGAAAGTATGGCCAATTTTAGTATTGGTTCTTCCCACACAGGAGCATAGGATATCTTTATATTTTGTGATATTCTCTTTTCTCATTTTTCAAAGTATTGTAATTTTCAATGTAAAGGTCTTCTATTTCCTATCTTAGATTGATTACTATTTATTTTGTTTTGGGGGAATGGGAAAGTGTTGTTTCCCTAATTTCTCTCTCAGTGAGTTTGCTATTTGTGTATATGAAGTGAATTCTATTCATTTTTGAGTATTAACTTGTATCCTGCCATACAACTGAATTTGGTTATTAAATCTAGAAGTCTTTTCTTGAAGTTTTTATGTTCTTCTTTGTAAAGTAACATGTCATCCACAAATAATGATAATTCAAAGTCTTTGTTTTGTATTGTTATTCCCTTTACTTCTATCCAACTGCTTTGGCTAATGTTTCCACAACTATATAGAATAATAGTTATGATACTGGACATTTTTGTCTTCCTGATTGTAGAGTAAAAGCTTTCCATTTTTGTCCATTTAGTATGATATTGGCTATTGGTTTGAAATACATGGCACTTATCTTATTAAGACTAAGACCATTTATTCCAATTTTCTGTAGGATTTTACCAAGAATGGATGTTGGACTTTCTCAAAACTTTTTCAGAATCTATTAAGAGATGATATATAATTTTTGTCCTTCGCTCTTGTTAACATGGTGTATTACATTTATTCACTTGCATATACTAAACTATACCAGCATCCCTGGAATTAATCCTCCTTGATCAGAGTGTATTATTTTCTTGATGACTTGTATTGCCTTTAGAAGTATCTTACTGAGGATTTTTGTGTCAATGTTGATTGGCCAGGTTGGCCTGTAGCTCTTTTATTTATTAATCTTTCTCTAATTTTGAGTATCAAGTGTAATTCTTGCTTCCAGGAATAAATTTTGCTCTAATGATTCCCATTCTGCTTCATTAAAGAATATGAGGAGTTATGGCATTAGATCTCCCCTCATTTTCTTCTAGAATTCAACTTCAGGGGCTAGAGATTTAGCTCAGTGGTAGCATGCTTGTCTAGCAACTATTAGGCTCTGGGTTATGTTCTCAGGACCAAAAAAAAAAAAAGGGCAACAAACACATAGAATTAATTAATGAATCCATCCCAACCTGGGCTTTTCTTTGTTGGTGGATTTTTTTTTTTTTTTTCAGTGCCCTCTATTGAACTCAGGACCCTGCGCTTGCCAAGCAGGTGCGTATTCTACTGAGCTATCTCCCCAGCCCTTGTTGGTGGATTGCAATTGTACCATCAGTTTCATTGAGTGATACTGGGTTATTTAGAATTTTTATTTATTCTTGATTCATCTATGCTACTTCATATGCACCCACTAATTTCCATTTCTTTGTGTTTTCCATCACAGTAGAATACAGGTTCTCTAAATAGGTATTGATGACCTGAATTTCTTCAGTATCTGTTATTTCACACTTTTCATTCCCAATTGCCTGGATTTGGGTCTTTCCTTTTTTGATAAGGTTAGCTAAAGGTTTGTAATTTTATTTGATCCTTCCAAGAACCAAGCCTAATTCATTGATTCTCTATATGTCTTCTTGGTTTTCTTGGCATTAAGTTTTGTTTTCATCTCTATAACTTCTTTCCCCATATGAGCCTTGGTCCGGGCTTGCTTTTCTTAGAAACTTAAAGTTCAATATTAGATTGTTTATTTGAACTTTCTCTTTTTCTGATATAGGAATTCACTGCTATAAATTTTGTGAGCCTGGTCTCATTGTGTCCTATAAATTATATTATGTATTGGCATTATTGTTTAACTGTAGAAAGTATCTAATTTTTTCCTTAATTTTGTCTGTGGTCCATTCATTGTTCAGTAGCATGTTGTTTAATTTCCATATGTTTATGTAGTTTTTGTGTTTTGCCATAGATTTTCAATTTCATTGCACTATGGCCTGCTAATATGCACGCAATAATTTCAGTTTCTTTGCGTTTACTTAAGCTTGTTCTATGTGCTGTGTGTGGTCTGATTTGGAGACTATCACATGCATGTGAGATGAATGTGTAGTCTGATATGGGCTGGAACACTCTGCAGATATCCAACACCATTTGCTCGTGAATTTGATTCAGAATTTTTTGTCTATTTGATGTTTTTGATACTGGGGTATTGAAGTCCCCCCTTACAGTTGTATGGGTAGTTACTTAGTTTTTCATGTCTGTTAATTGTTTTAGTATAGTTGAGCACACCTGCATTTGGTACATATGTATTTATAATTGCTCTCTTCCCATTAGATTTTTCCTTACAAGGATGTAGTGATCTTTATCTCTTTTTATAAGTTTTTGCTTGAAGTTTACATTGTCTGCAATAGAGTAGCTGCCCTTGATTTTTCTTTGAGTTCCTGTGGTGTGGAATATTATTTTCCACTCTTTGACTTTCAATCTTTGAGTTTCTTGTATGCAACATAATGTTGGATCTTGTTTCATGATCCATTCTCCCAGTGTTTTTTGTTTTGTTTTGTTTTTAAATGAATTTAGTACAGGGTCTACAGGGTCTTACTACACCAATCTAACTCATAGTGATCCTTTTGTAGCTCTGGGATTACAGGCATGCACCACCACGCCCAGTCTCATTTGTTGTTTTAGCATGCCTCGGGGGCAGGGCCAGCACAGCATGGGGGGGATTGAACCCTAGTCCCTGTGTCTACCTAAGCAGGTGCTTTAGTCCCCTGAGCTATCTGACCGGCCCTATTCTCCCAGTGTCTTTCTTTTGGTTGGTGAAATGAGACTATTTAGATTGATGGTTATATCCAATATGTGTTGACTTATTCTTTTCATGTTTATTTTCTTTAATTGGTTTCCTTTTACTCCCCCTCTGTTTGACTACTTACCTTGCCTTATGGCTTCATTCTGCTGGGGTTCATGCAGTTGTAGTCCTCATTACATTTTTCTAGAATGTCCTACAGAACTGGAAGGTACAAATCCACACAATCAACCAGACCAGGCATTCTGATGCTAGTAGAAGATTTATTGGGGGCATCAAGCAGGATGGCTGTCTAGCAGACCAAGACAGCACTGAACAAAGGGAGGGCAGGAAACTTTGTAGGATATTTCAGGGAGGTGATCACTGGCTGGAACAGCTGGGGGAGAGCTACTCTTGGTAGGACTACCTGCTTTGTGGGGGACTTTTAATGTTAACAGAGGAGAGTTTCGTGGTTGCTTGCCCAGGTCAAAGTCAGGTGGACCTGTTCTGCGGTTTTGGGTTTGGCTCTGTGTGGAGCCAAGGGGGAGAGAGTTTGGGGGCAGGGTGCCTGGGAAACTAAGAGGGAGAGTACTTGGGGCAGGGTGCATGGGAAACTTTGAATCCTGACCTATCAAGAACATTTTGGTGTGCTAGATTAGTGGTCATGAATATTTTTAGGTGTTCTTTGTCATGGAAATCTCTCATTTCTCCATTAATTTTTTTTTTCATTTATGTATTTGGTACAAGGTCTCACTACACAGATCGGACTTGTAGTGATCCTCCTGTTTTCAACCTCCCCAGGGCTGGGCTTACAGGCGTGTGCTAGCACACTAGGACTTGTTCGATAGCTCTGCACACCCCAGGGGCCAGTGCAGCATGGGGGGTGAAGGGGATGGAGCACTGGTCCCTGCACTTGCCAAAGCAGGTGCTTAGTCTGAGCTGTCTTACTGGCCCTCCATTAATTTTGAAAAATGGTTTTGCAGGGTACCTCAATCTGAGTAGGATTTTATTTTATTTTTATTTTATTTTTTTTTAAGGACTTAGAAAACTTCACTCCAAGCTCTTGACTTAAGGTGGGTTTTTTTGTTGGTGTTTGGTATGAGTAGAACTCATGACCTTGTGCTTGCCAGGCAAGTGCTTGGCTACTAAGCTATATCCTCACTGATAGGTTTTCAACAGTGTCACAGCAGAGAAATGGGCAGAAATAAAAACCTTTATTATCTTGGAGGACACAGAGAAAATTTGGGAAGATAAGGAATTCTCTGGATTGGAACAAAGGGAGCCTGAGGCTTTTATGACTTTTTGCCGGGGGTGGGGCTTGAGTGGGATGTTTATATACACCTGAGGAGCTGACTGGGGCCTTCCCTGAGGTGGCAGGAAAGGTGACAGGAAACTGCACCCTGGGCTGAGTTGGAGAAGAAGGGGGGACGTGGTCTCTGGGAAGATAAGCTGTTTTAAGGGCTTCAGCCATATTAGATGACCACCATAATAATTAAGCAATTCGTACTAGGGCCATAACCTAGCACCCACCCCCTTGACGTGAGGTTTTGTGTTGGGAGTTGCTGTGATTCTGATGGGCTTTCCTTTGTAGGTGATTTCTTTCTTTTTCTTTTAACAGTTTTTAATATTCTTGTGTTGAATTTCTGGAATCTTGACTATTATATGCCTTGGTGTAGATGTTTTGATCTTTGCTTCCCCTACCTCAATGTCAAATTCTTTTTATATGCTTGGAAACTTTTCAGCCATTACAAACTCTTTTTTTATATGCTTGGAAACTTTTCAACTATTACTCCTGCCATACTTCAAGGTATCTCCTGCTTTTCTTATGGACTCTAATAAATTTGTTATTCTTCTTTTGAATTGACTTTCTATGGTACTTTGCTATTTGTAAGAAATCTTTCTTTTCATAATTGATAGCTGCACTCCTGTTTTGTGTATTTGATATTCTATTCCCCACATGGGTACATTCTGTTGCCTTGATTTTCAGTGGAACTTTTAGTCTCATGGTATGTATTTCAATGTGTTTCATGGATTCTATTCCTTTCCTATGTTGGAGATTCATGATTTCCATCATTTTCCTAAGCTTTTCTTTCTCTTAATGTCTATCTGCTCTTCTGTCAGTAACCATGTCTTTCATTATGGTTTCTATCCCTAAAGTTATCTAAAAAATTGTTCCTGCGTTGATTTTTTCTAGTTCCTCATTCAGTGCTTTATTACTTCCACTGGTGGCACTT